TCTTTAATTTCGAATTTCAATGTAGAAACGCTTGTCCATCTTAATCCTCCCCAAATATTGATAGATAACTTAAGCTCCAAAAGCACTAACCGACCCATAATAAGTAAAAAAAAAGGGGGAAAAAAATAAAATCACAACCAAAAAATGAATATGACATGACTTGGTGCAACAAAGGGTCAACCAAATTGCCAATCGTATAGTTGGGGTTTTAATAATTACTCATGCAATCAGTTGAATAGTTGCAAAAGAAAGGTTAACGTGTAAACCCTTAAAACCTCTAAAAATTAAAGGGTTTCTAAAAAGTCCTTTTCATTTGTTGCTAAGATTCATGTGAATTTTAATCCGTTTTTGACAGTTATAGAAAAAAAAGGTGAAATTATTGAATTTCTAAGATGATATGCATTGAATAATATGCTAGACCCAACCCAGATTTGAGGATCTTGTATGGTCTTTTGCAATTTTGCCATCTCATATAATGTGGGCTCATTCATACAACTATACAAGTACACATCATATTGTTAATTTGACATTTGATTAATTATGCCCTAATCTCTTCAAATGATTGTTAGTGAGCTTAATTACTTAATGATTGTTACCAATTTAAATTTATGTTGTCTGATGAAATTGTCTTTTAATGATAGTTAAAACCAATGTTTATCACTATACTATTGTTTTTGTGTGTGTTATACAATCGCACTATTAGTTTATTAACTTGTTTTTCACTTTATTGTAGGAAAAATACATTCTAACAAGATAAATGCAGGAAAAATAAGTTCTATTAAAATTAATCCAAATTCAATCAATAACTAAAACAAATTCATATAATGTTTAATAAATTTTGATAAATTTAATTAAGTTCATATATGTAATCAGCTGAATGAAATGCATCATCACTCTACTATATTTAGCAATCATGAATGGAATTTGCTAATTAAAATTAATTTTTTGTTAATAAAAATTGATTTAAAATAAAATTAAGCTGACAAGACATGACTCGAAATGTATACAAATTTGAAAAAGTATTATTCTTGTATTTGAATTATTTCAAAATCTTTTACTTTTAAATATAATTAATTTTTTCAAATTATTTTATCCTCCATGTGACTATCATTGTTTGATAAGAGCATCAAACATTATGATATACGGAGTAATCAATTGAGTGAAAATTAGTAGCAATTTTATAATTTAAATAACCAACATATAGTATATGCTATCCTTACATGTTAAGGAAAATTGATAATGGGAAAGCTTAAAAAAATTTAGATCAATTTATTTTTTCTTCTTTTCACGCTGTTTTTAGTTGCATTTCACCATCAATAATTAGAAAAAAGTGTTCCTTTGATTTATTCCCTCAATAAATTGATAGAAGCACTTGAATGAAAGATACCATTTGTTCGTTTTTCTCCTTCCACTTAGCTGCCTCACTTTCAAGTGTTAGATTCGCTTCCCACATATTATTGCGCGATATTCATAAAAACACCTAAAGTTTATGTGATAATCTTATCCTTGCTAATTTCTCACCTACTAATTCTAAGTGTATATGTAGAAAGAAGATGGAATTTTGGGCATTATTACTAAATTCAGCTAAGAAGCCTAGCTAGTTACTAGCTAGTTTCGACTTTTTTCGAAAGTGCCTCTCTTGAATACGAGTAATATGTAGTTGACTCACTAGATAAAGTTCTTACCTTATATCCGGGAGGTTTAGGGTTCCAATCTAACTAATTAAGTGTACTTTTGGGTAGGAATTTCCTCACCTCTATTAAAAAGTGTTATAGCCCTCTAATGCATAAACCTGGTGTGTCGAGTTATATTTGAGCTTTAAAAATGACAATTTAACCGTTCCCAATATATACAACCGTACTCTCCTCCCATTTAAGAGGAGACGGACAGTATAACATTGAAAACAATACTCTTTTTCGAGGGTGCTTAAATCATTACTCTTATTTTGCAAGGAAGTGATAGCTTTGCTATCGTTTTCAGAGTTTCATCAGTGTAATTTCAGATTGTGACACTCCTCTAAGTAAAAATCACAAAGCTAAACTTTGCAGCAAAGTTAGAAAAAAATTTCACACACCATTAATTAATGATTAGCATCATAATTAATCGTATAAAACTCCATGATTGCCCAACAAATTTTGTTCAAGAGGCATATTGTGTCCGCTTAAGGAGACAAAAGTGTGGCAAACAACGTAGCTTTTGAAAGAAATTAGATTTGACAAGATGTCATTAGTCTCATTACCCACATTTTAATTATCTAAGATAATGCCTTCTTTCCGGCTCTATTGACTCTTCTGTGCTAATTAAGGGATTTTGTTTACCTACTTTTTCAACAGTAATTTACATTAATTTTCAAGAATGCATAAAGTAAATTATCTCCAAAGAAAGATAACAGAAAGTTAAAAAGGTCATGTCCTCAGAAAAATTGATAACCTTTTGATGGAGTTATTAAAATTCATCAGTTTCAAAATAATTGTAACCAACTTCCATATTCCATAACATAAAAGTTAATAAAAGTATACAAATATAAATAGTTTTATTTTATTTTTTATAGGGAAGAAATTAAGAGAGTTTGATGACAGTTAAATGAAAAAAAAAAAAAAAAAAAAAAACATATACATCAGTCATCAGCAAAAGGAGTAGATTGATTATGGTTTTTTGGATCATTATCTCTACTCTCTATCTTTAATTGTATGTCAAGAAGCTTGTTTCAAGTATTAAATTAAATAAATCCACCCACTATTCTGAAAAATAATGTGCCAAATTTCCATGTTTATTAACTCGGTCTTTAGGGCGTGTGTCATTCACCTGATTCTTACATGTATGAACTTATCTTAATTGAACTTTATCTAAACACTTAGGTAGTCCTTATCAAAACGGAGTACTGTATCTGTAACTCATTGGGCTTAATAGTTCAGCCCATGATTAAACCCATATTATTGGGCTGACACAGTATAGGCCTACCTTTTGTACAAACCCGTCTTGACAGTCCAGCAGTCCAGGCCACTGTCCCTCACCACAAACAAATTTAGCTGATCTCATATGCTAAAGTGCAGGAATTAACTTAAACCAATTTAACCCAATTATCTCGCAAAAATCTGTATGGAGTACTAAGTTTGCAAAAGGCAGTACGGAGTACGAAGTCACCACATAAAACAAGTTCCCCATCTGTACAGAAATCTCTCACTCCCACAGGCCACAGCTACTGCTAGCTCCAGCTTCTATTTACTGATAGACAGCAATACAGCATAATTGGGGTCGAGTATTGCATACAAGGGGCAACTTATCGATAATGCCCCAAATTCAAGTCTTACTACAAATTACTTATTAAGAGGATATAAAACATTTCATCCCTGTTAGTTGCCTAAGTAGTTGTGAATAGAATATACCTTCACTTTTGGTTGATGCGTGCAACCCCAAGAAAAACCATCTATGTAATGGTACCTCTCAATATTATTTATCATTGCATATGCTACCAGAATATCAGGCTACCAGCTAGGTCCTATATCATTCAAAATAAGTTTTCTCATCTTCTAGTATCTTCAGGATTCTTCACACCATCTATATCAACCACTGGCAGAGCCTTAATACCAATTATTCTAGCCTAAAGAGGGTCAGGGTAGTATCAAGAAGATTTTTTTAAAAAGTACTTGAAAAGAGAATGGGGGGAAATGGGTAAAGATGTAATCAGAACAGCAGCAGCAATATGGCAGTAGAAGTGTATATTATAGAATCAAGTGTAATAAAAAACTTTACTGTAAGGCAGACAGGAGGAAAGGAGATCAAAAGTCTGAAGCTCATTGCAATTGTAATAAGAGAACAGTGAAAGCATCAATATGTGAATATGTGCGTGTGTAGTTTCAATGAGTGCAACAAAGGACGTTTATGTGTGGGTGAACATGTGTATGTTTAGCCAGTGAAGGTGAACAACAAAAGCAATCAGAAGCAGAACAAATGATAACTTGGTCTCAAAATGATTTGATGGGTTCCCAACTTCCCAATATTAACAAATGCCAACACCCAATTCTGAAGTGAAGAGTAAAACCAAACATTCACATTCCCGTCTTCCTGGTGTCTAGCCAATCTATCAAACTCACTGCAGATAATTAGTATAACCTCAAATCATTAGCCCTCTCTAATTGCTTGGTCTCGAAATCATGTACTAAATACCAGTGAAGAGCAGTGAAGAGTAAAACCAAACACCAGTTCAGTCCTACTGTCCAACCAACGGTCTTATTGTGAATGATTAATATTTTCCTTGATTCTATAGCCTGGTCTAATTGTAGCCAGGTTACACAAAGTACATGAAAACACTCCTCAATGGCTCAATCGATCCCAACCACATTCACCGTTCTATAGCCTCATCTAACTGTAGCCAGGTTACACAAAGTACATGAAAACACTCCTCAATAGCTCAATCAATCCCAACATTCACCGATCCTATAGCCTCATCTAATTTAGCCTGGTTACACAAAGTACATATAAACACTCCTCAATGGCTCAATGGTTCAATCGATCCCAATATTCTCCATAAATTATGCAATCAACTTGATAATTTTGAATCACTCCGTAGGTATTTGACATGGTGAAGTGGTACCAAATCAATAACTCGTATTTACAAATCCCCACAACTCACAAGTTAATATACACAACAGAAACGATTATAGCCCGGATATTTCCATGTTTCTAACTCGTCACTGTATATGTGCCTCAAGACTCAAAATTTTCAAAATCTTGTTTAGAAATAGCACTTCAGAAGCTATAATCATCTCGAATGTTTGGTGCTCAATTCAACTGCAGTATTACCACTAACAGCCAAAACAATTTTCCTACTCTTTTTGTCAATCAAATAGCAATACAAGTGAAGTAAAAACATAGACAACATAGTCCATTGAAATTCAAACATTTTGGCTTACATTTCTTGTAAAGTTCAAAATAGTAAACCAACACAATTCAATTAAACACATAATACTAGCATTACATTGCAATAAGTCGCAACTAAATGAACAATTTTAAAGCATCAATTAGGATTATCAACAAACACATTAAAACCCAAATTAACATCAATTGTACACAAAAATTACCCTTTAAAAACATATTCATTTTACTTCATCAAATTAAAACCAAAATACACATAAATTCCACATAATTCACCAACAATAACACCCAAATATATCCATAAAACGAAAACAAATTATACAAAAAAAAAACACAAATTAAACCTAAAACAAAATCAACAAACAATACCCAGAAATCTTATCTCTTACTTCTTCTTGGCCTTACTCTTCTTTTTAGGAGGAAGAATAATCTCACCCTTAAGAACAGGAATGGTCATAATCTGAGTCAATTCACCATACTTCTTCTTAAACTTCTCAACTTGATCAGCATCAATAAGAAGAGCAGACCGATTTCCGAGGTAAAAAGGGTGGTTTCCCGACCAAACTTCAACAGTGTACTCTTTCTGGGTGCCACCAGTAGTCATAACAAGTTCACCATTGCAGTAGACCTTAGCATCTTCGTGGAATTCTGGGTGAATGTCTGTTTTACGGCAGCTCCATTGAGGACGAAGGGTTGAAGATGAAGTTTTTGAGAATTTGGGGAGAGTTAAGGTTTTTGGGGTTGATGGGATTTTGGCTAGGAATTGGTTGGATAGGGTGAGCACCATTGTTGTGAATTGTGAAGAGCTTGTTTGTGAAGAGAGATTGAGAGAGAAATGTTGGGTTTTGAGTGGATGTGGTAGTGTGAGAGTTTTCTAGTGTTGTTGATGTTTGGGAGATGTTGTGGGTTAGAGTTGAAGCCCATCTTTGTAGGTGTTTATCATTGAAGTTAAGCCCATAATAAGTTTTTGTTGTTGTTTGGCAATACTCATGAGTCTTATCATACTTCCTTCATTTAAAACTAAAATGCAGTCTATGGCTCTGTTCACTTCACTTTAAAATATATATTGAAAAATTAATTTTAGTTCAACGGAAATAATTTTAGTTTAAAATAAATAATTTTAGTTCAGTAAAAATCATTAACTTTACAGAATATATACAATGGAGAATCAATTAAATAAATTCAGTAAAAAGAATTTCAGTTCAACAAAATTAAGGTGAAATGAACGAGGCCTATATTCATTTAATTGTTAGGAAAATGCTATGAAGTATACATATAGTCCTTAGGGATATATATAAGGAGCTTAAAATGGAAAAACAAATGAAAATATAATATTAAATCTGAAACCTCCAAATTTTATCAAAAAGCGTGGATATTAACTTTCAATTTTGGAAATTTTTGACTTTTTTTTCACCCGCAAATAAAAATTGCCAAAATGTTTACCATGGTCCCTAATACCCTCCGGAAGTCTAATTGGCTGGGTGGAACCATCCAATTTGCATTTAAACGACCAATTTACCGGTTTAAAACTTGCACCGATTTCATTAACTCAAACTTACCACAAACATTTATGACAACATATAATGATCACATATGGATCCAAACAACATTATATGACCCCGAGACGTATCCCCTAAAATCTCAATGCATTTCGACACCGAGCCCCGAAACATTTGAAATTTCTCAAAAAGCATGGATATTAACCTTCAATTTTAGATTTTTTGACTTTTTTGGCCCAGATATAAAAATTGCCGAAACGTTTACCATGGTCCCAAATACCCTCCGGGAGTCCAATTGGATGGGTGGAACCATCCAATTTGCCTTTAAACAACCAATTTACCGGTTGACAACTTACACCGATTTCATTAATTCAACCCTACTATGAACAGTTATGACCACAAATAATGATCATATATGGTTCCAAACGACATTATATGACCCCGATATGTGTTCCCTAAAATTTCAAGACTTTTCGATACTGGGCTCGAAAACTCCAAAAATTCTCAAAAAACGTGGAAAAGCCTTCAATTTTTGAATTTTTTGACTTTTTTCGCCTGTAAATAAAAATTGTCAAAATGTTTACCATGGTCTCTAATACCCTCCGGGAGTTCAATTGGGTGAGTGGAACCATCCAATTTTCCTTTAAACGACCAATTTACCGGTTTACAACTTGCGCTGATTTCATTAACTCAAGCTTGCCACAAACATTTATGACAACATATAATGATCATATATGGTTCCAAACGGCATTATATGACCCTGAGATGTATCCCATAGAATTTCAAGACTTTTTGACACCGGGCCCCGAAACTTTCAAAATTTCTCAAAAAACATGGATATTAGCCTTCAATTTTGGATTTTTTTTTACTTTTTTCGCTCGGAAAAAAAAATTACCGAAATGTTTACCAAGGTCCTTAATACCCTATGGGAGACCAATTGGGTGAGTGGAACCATCCTAATTGCCTTTAAACGGCCAATTTACCGATTTACAACTTGCACCGATTTAATTAACTCAAACCTACTACGAACATTTATGACAACATATAATGATCATATATGGTTCCAAACGAAATTTTATGACTCCGAGATGTATCCCTTAAAATCTCAAAACTTTTCGACACCAGGCCTCGAAACATCCCAAATTTCTCAAAAAGCGTGGATTTTAATTTTGGAATTTTTTGTCTTTTTTTTTGCCTGGAAATAAAAATAGCCAAAATGTTTACCATGGTCCCTAATACCCTCTATGAGTCCAATTGGGTGGGTGGAACTATCCAATTTGCCTTTAAACGGCCAATTTACCGATTTACAACTTGCACCGATTTCATTAATTCAAGTCTACCATGAACATTTATGACAACATATAATGATCATATATGGTTCCAAACGGCATTATATGACCCCGATATGTATCCCCTAAAATGTCACGCCTTTTCAACACCGGACCCCGAAACTTCCAAAATTTCTCAAAAAACGTGGATATTAGCCTTCAATTTTGAAATTTTTTGACTTTTTTTGTCGCCTGGAAATAAAAATTGCTGAAATGTTTACCATGGTCCCTAATATCCCCTGGGAGTCCAATTGGGTGGGTGGAACCATACAATTTTCCTTTAATCGGCCAATTTAACGATTTACAACTTGCACCGATTTCATTAATTCAAGCTTACCATGAACATTTATGACAACATATAATGATAATATATGGCTCCAAACGGCATTATATGACCCCGATATGTATCCCTAAAATCTCACGTCTTTTCGACACTGAGCCCCGGAACTTCCAAAATTTCTCAAAAAGCGTGGATATTAGCCATCAATTTTGAAATTTTTTGATTTTTTTCGCTCAGAAATAAAAATTGCCGAAATGTTTACCATGGTCCAATACCCTGCGGGAGTCCAATTGGGTGGGGGGGAAACATCCAATTTGCCTTTAAACGACCAATTTACTGGTTTACAACTTGCACCGATTTCATTAATTCAAGCCTACCACGAACATTTATGACAACAAATAATGATTATAGATGGTTCCAAACGACATCATATGACCCCGAGTTGTATCCCATAGAATTTCAAGATTTTTTACACCGGGCCTCGAAACCTCCAAAATTTCTCAAAAAGCGTGGATATTAGCCTTTAATTTTGAAATTTTTTGACTTTTTTTTACCCGAAAATAAAAATTGCCGAAATGTTTACCATGGTTCCTAATATCCTTCGGGAGTCCAATTGGGTGTGTGGAACCATTCAATTCGCTTTTAAACGGCCAATTTACCGGTTTACAACTTGCATCAAACCCGACTTGAACCGAAATTGACCCAAACCCGTTTTAACCCGTCAAAACTCAAATTTAACCTGACTTGTTACTAACCTGACCTGAATTCAACCTGACCCGTTCCTAACCCGACCCGAATTTTACCCAACCTGTTACAAACCCGACCCGAAATCAATTCCACTTGTTATTGACCTTACTCAAATTTAACCCGACTAATTATTGACCCGACTCGAATTTTACCATACCTATTACTTACCCAACCCAAATATTCAACCCGACTTGTTACTAACCCGACTCGAAATTAACACGACTTGTTATTGACCCAACCTAAATTCAACCCAATTTGTTCCTGACCCGATTTCAAATCACCTTAAATGCAATTTAGACCACATTTTTATTGTTGATCAAAGCATTTTATCTTGGGAGACTAAGTCGGTCCAGGCCAGCAAAATAAAGGAGCATCATCCTCAAATTTAAGAGTTAAATATAGTATATATTTGTTTTATGGTCAAAGGAGATAATTATCTTTCTAAATGATAGTTAGTTGAACCCGAATATAACCTGACTTGGAAATGACCTGACCTGATTGTAACCTGCAAATTATTGACTTGAACGTAACCTAATTTAGATGTAGCACTTTTCTCTTTATTTACAAATATTGCTCTCTTATCACATGAGTCCAGTATTTTCCTTTTCTCTATCTATCTCATCTCCTAAAATTGCCTATAGGCTCTGTTCACTTCACCTTAAAACAATAACATTAAGTAAAAGTAAAATAATTTCAGTTCGGCAAAAATAAATTCAGCTCAGTAAAAATATGTTCAGTTCATTAAAAATGAGTTCAGTATCTTTAAAGAAGTAAAATCAGTAAAAATAATTTCAGTTCAGTAAAATTTATTTTAGTTTAGTAAATATAATTTAAGTTTAGCAAAAATAATTTCACTTTAGTAAAAATAATTTCATTTCAGCGAAAATAAGGTAAAGTGAAGAGACCTAATTCCGCAATTTTTAAAGTGATGCAATCATGCAACTCAAAAACAGTGAGTGTTAGTTAAGTTAGTTGTAAATTGAGCTTGGATTGCCCTTATTAAAACCTATTTCCTCCGTTTCTTTTTAAATGATATGTTTCTTTAGTCACGTTTGTCAATGCATAAAAAATATAGATTATGACGAATCTAACAAACCCCACATGACTATATTTTTCTTTACATATAAATCACAAAACATGGTCAAAGGTAAGTGTGTGAATAGTGCTAAAATCAAAACGTGTCAATTAATAAAAAATGGAGGTAGTATCAGAATTGAGTTTAGTAATTTCGTGTATTTGTTAATTGAGCTTAGATAGCCCTTATTAATCGCTTTCATAACTTCTTAGAACTAATTTTTCCTAAAATAAGTGAATAAAAGATAGAACTGGCCTTTAACATTAAAGTATGCTTAAAGTATAGAATTAATCATGTAACAAGAATTATTAACTCGTGTACAAAGGTATTTAAAGGCGATGTAGGTTGCTACCAAGTTAAATCATGGATCCATATGGCTCTATAAAAATGATCATAAGAGTTGCAAGATCAAAACAACCCTTCAATTTGTTGCCATGGACTCCATCGTCTCTACTTCATTACATTTTTGTACGTAATATAAATGTTTAACTTTCTCTTTGTTATTATATGCATTCATTGTTGTCTTTGTTGCCATTTAAACTTTTCATGATTGGAGTATGAATTATCATCCTTCTTTATGATACAATTTGAAGTAAGTAATTTACTTTGCATATTGTATTTAACCTTTCACATTGAATTATTTAGGCTCCAAAAGTAATTTGTGCAACTAAAAATTGGCCTCAAAAGTAGGAAGTTTATCATACAATAGCTCCAATAGGAGAACAAGGAGGGGAATATGAGTTATATGACTATTCCATATGATCAATGCATCACACATTTAAGTAGATGGGTATTTGCTTGAAAGATACTAGCCATAATTGATGATTGTAACAACACAGTGAGACATAACATGTGTGTTGCTTGTTAAAGAAAAAAGTTCAACCACCTCTTTTGAAAATATTGAACTCCTGATTTTTTTTAGAAAAATGACATGATAATACACATCTTTGATGATACACTTTGAAAATTGATAC